CCAACAAGCAAGATTACCTAACGTAATCTTTAACGAAAGAAAGGTTTCACCGAATGCTAGCAATGATCCTAATCGTACCGGACTTTCGTCTGCAGGGAAATAGCTGTGTGGCAATATTTTATTCAACAGCTTATTCAAAACGTGCAGATCAAGGTGTGCCAATCATTATCACAGAGGGGCGTGCTCGGCGGAAATTACTGTCCGTGAAATGCGGCCAAAGTATTCAAAAATATTGATATGTGAAGTTTGACCTTGAGGTGTGAAGTGAGGGCTCTTAATGATTTTATCTAATGGGTATGTTTTGTAAAGGTGACCCCACTGCACTAGGGTTTGGTCCCAAATGAGCATCAATACAATTCATCTATATGGTCATATGGGTGCGCTACATAATTCCGAAACACCCGGTTCGATTTCAGCTGTAGGTGATCTGGAAGCCTGTTGCTTTGTGCTGGTGTGGAGCATCGACAGTGTGGAAGTAATGGCAAACTACTAAACGTTAAATTGCTTAGTAAATATGCATCATCGTCAATGTCCACTTCTGTCGGTTGGCGTTGTGGTTTGCGATCCAATGCTTGATGGGCAGCAAAGGCTACTGTCATACTGTGACCATGTAAAAGCTCTTTAATGTCATCAATCCATCATCTCCTAGGGAGGCCTCTCCTTTTCACTTCAGATCTTTTCATATGAAGCGCCTGCGTTGGTCAAAGTTCTGGCTGCATTCTTACTATGTGACCAAACCATTTGATCTTCTGTTTCTCAGTGAATTTGCTGCACGGTGTTGTTTCTACAGTCTGTCTGATAATATCATTTCTAACTTTGTCTTGGATGGTTAAGTTGGCGGCTTTTCTCGGGCATCTCATTTAGCATGTGTTAATTTAACGCAAATTAGCCTTTGATAACATCCAAGTCTAGCACTGGCACCACAGTGTTGGTATGAATATGCTCTTTATGATCTGTTTCTAGGCGCTTATACTTATGTTTGGATGTCTTAAAAAGGGTGTCAGTTGGTATATATATATATATATATATATATATATATATATATATATATATATATATATATATATATATATATATATATATATATAGTATCCAGAAGCCATGAGTTGTTAACCCTTAGGCTCGGTATTATGGATATCGCAACCTTTTGGCCTTGATTCCATTGTAAATACCGTAAATCTGGGAGAAAATGTGGCTTTCCTGCCTACCCCCGGGATTGAACCCGGACCACAAGGAGTTCGTCACCCGGTCTCCGCGCAATCCGGTTTAGCCAACTGCGCTAGACAGCCAGGCGTCAGTTGGTTATTAAGTGTACTGGCTCGTTGGCGTCTTGTTTCTGTTTCCTGATCAATTTTCAGTCCTTCGAGATTATACTTCCTAGATATTTACATTCTTTAACTTGCAGTAAATATACAAACAACTAAAAAATTATGGGGTTAGTGACTTCTGCCAATTAGTAACACTAGTCTTTCTAACCTCAACTATCCAACTAGGCAACCAGTCTTCCTATCATCAACTATCCAACCAAGCAACCAGTCTTCCTATCATCAACTATCCAACATAGCAACAAGTCTTCCTATCCTCAACTATCCAACCAAGCAACCAGTCTTCCTATCATCAACTATCCAACCCAGCAACCAGTCTTCCTATCATCAACTACCCAACCCAGCAACCAGTCTTCCTATCATCAACTATCCAACCCAGCAACCAGTCTTCCTATCCTCAGCTATTCAACCAAGCAACCAGTCTTCCTATCATCAACTATCCAACCCAGCAACAAGTCTTCCTATCCTCAACTACCCAACCAAGCAACCAGTCTTCCTACCATAATTAATTAACATTGGAATGAAACCCAGTACTTCTGTACTGAGGCCTGACATTTGGCAAAATGACATCCGCCAGTATGACTAATACCGGAATGTCGAGTCTATAACTCGATGCTATCAGAACACACAGTACAACGGCGATCACTAGCTGTGACAGAATTGTAGGTATAGTATAAAGAGGAGTTTCCCGTCACGGATTTGGTTGTTTCAGTCTGATTCAGTCAAAGTGCAGGCAGGAGTCTCCGCTCATTGAAATACAGGGGAAATTACCCCCTACTCCGGGAAAGAACAAGATCGCAAAGCTAGGAGTTATCTATAAAAGGTTTAATAAATGATAGGCTGCTTTTTTCATATTCTATTCTAACCCAAACAGGAGGAAATCCACAGGTCACGGGACAGTCTAATATTTAAGGGGGTGGTAGATAGGATGCATGCAGTCGTGGGACCTAGGCTGCACTCTCTAGTGGGTCGTGTGGGTTGAATGAATGAATGAATGATTGAATGAATGAATAAATAAATAAATGAACGTACCATAAATCTCAACCGCTGTTAGTTACACCACATAGAAAAAAAAATTATTTAAAGGCCCATAAATGTACCTAATATATTTCTGAATATATTTGAACAGATTTTTAAACAATATTTTTAAAAGGATTTTAAATGCATCTGAAAAATGTCAACTGGTTATTAGTAAAAAAAAAAGTTTTATGTTTATTACAAGTACACAGATGTATTTTAAGGGTTTTAACCTTTTTTTTTTCTTTCTTTATGTACCAAATAGTGTTAAGTGCCACGATAAAATATTTTTGTGTATGTATTTTTATTTTTCAGGCAGGAAATAAATGTATGCTGTCCTCAGACACTACTCAGCATGTATGTGTATACGGTAACGACATTTATAATTCACCCTTTATCACAAAATATGTTAAATTTACCCATCATATATGACGCTGTGAAAAAAACCCATTTCTTTATGTCTGATCAAAGTGCAATCTATTTAAACCCACGCCGTAGTGTGTGTGTGTGTGTGTGTATTATCATCATCATCATCATCAGGTGCCTTGCCGACTGGCGTGGGCGATCATGCCTCTCCATAATCCACGATCTCCTGCAGCATATATCAGTTCGTGTGCCGACACACCTCCATGCCATGCAACAAGACTGTCAAGAATCTTCTCTCGTTGTCTTCCTCTGTCCCTCCTTCCACAGATCTTTCCAGTGGTCACATGTTCTATTTTCTCTCTTCTCATAACATGGCCGAAAAACGATGACTGTCTCCTTCTGATGTCTGTGATAAGTTGTCTTCGGGCTCCAGCCTCTTTCAAAACCTCTTGGTTGCTCTTTTTGGCTGTCCAAGGTATTCTAAGCATTGTATATATATATATATATAAGGGAAAGTTATCTAATATAAACTGCAGAACTCTGATAAACCAAGTTATGTTCTCTTTTTCTTCACAGACTTGAACACGAATATCCTAAATTAGGGCTATTCAACTGGCAGCCCCCGGATCAAATTTGGTCCACGAAGACCTAGCAAGTGGTCCGCAGATCACTATCAGTTGTAAGGTATTAATGATCTCTTTAAGGTGAAGCTCAGGCCTCTGGCCCGGGACGATACCTTTTTTCAATACCGTGGTGCCTGAGTACACCTAAATGAATAGTCCTGTTAACTGCCAGTAGTAGCAAACTCGACCAACACACTTCTACTGATTGTTCTAGATACAGTATACACTGGCTAACTGTTGCAGATGTGCTGAACAGCCTGTGGCGGTGCACCGAGACCAAGGTTCATACAGGTCAAGAACATATCTTCACCTGTCTGTGGTCTTACTAAAAGCATGTTCCCAGCTGGTCAGCCTGGTCAGCATAGATAAGATGGACATTTCATTTAGGTCAAAGTGGACACATGCTGTTCTATCTGAAGAGTGTTAACTCTTTCACTACCAGAAAAAGCACAGCGCGTTCGTTGGTTGTCTTTTTCTTTCTCTACTCCTGGAGTGTCTCGCAGCGTCAGGGCAGGAAGAGATCTTTGGAACGGACCCTACTTTCCTCTACTCCTAATATGCCTCGCGTCATCAGGGCAGGAAGAGATGTTTAGAATGGGCCCTTCTGTTCGCTTCGTATAAAGTACTTTACAGTGTCTCTGATATTTCTGCGGTCCATGTTCTGCGTGGTCGACCTCTGGCTCTGTTACCGTTCTATATGAATAACATTGCTCTCTGTGGTGCCCTGTCTGATGCCAATTTTGTTACGTGGCCAAACCATTTGATCTGTTGTCTACCAATGAAGTACCCGCAACACTTAGGTTCTTGAACAAGAGGACTAAAGTCCAGAGGCAGATGAATAAAGCTAAGGTTCCGCCAGAGTTTACAACCAGTGAACGTGAAAAAGAGGCAGAAGAAGAAGAAGAAGAAGAAGAAGAAGAAGAAGAAGAAGAAGAAGATGATGATGATGATGATGATGATGATGATGATGATGATGAACGAATGAACTAGCTAAGAAACGAAATAACTTTATTTTGAAAGGGCTACAAACTGGGCACACAGGCCCGGTCTTACATTCGGCCTTTCTAAGCACTCATCTTTTAGATGAGAAGAAGAAGAATATAGCATAAAAACTAAACTTGCAGCATTCACCAGCTTCAAACTCCGGCGGAAAGTTTTGGCCCTTTGTCCACTGCTGGACTCTGTTTTCAGAACCTGAGTGTTGCCTGCACATGTTTCACAGATCTGACTCATTTGTATGCAGACTTTTAACGCCTTGCCTCTCAGGCAGGATGCACTGCGACTTCGAAGAAAGCTCCCAATTAGTCTTACGACATGCTTCTGTGTAGGCAGTGGGTCTGTTTTTATTTTCCCCTTACAAAGAAGTCCATGAAACCACTGGGGGAAAATTTGTTTCAGGGCTCACAGACAACGAAAGGGAAGTAACTAATATAATCTAGTCATCCCTTTGAGGGATGCAATTTTTTGTTATCTGAAGCCCTACTCTGGCTCTTGCCAGGGGCCGCAATATAGCCCGACCATAAGTATGGTCTGAACGCGGCTTCTGGGACCTCTCTACGGGTGATCCTCATCCCGATGGTGGCACTTTGTGTCATCTGGTGTTTATCGCTTGTGTGATGTCCTAATGCGGTAAAAGAAGGTAGATAGTAACTGACTTCATAGGACTTACCCTCCGTCGTCGTCATCTTCATCATCGTCCGTCTCCGCCGGCAACGCCGTTGTCGATTTGGCCTTAACAGCTACAACACTGTCTTTCTTGTCCTTTTTCTTGGTGAAGAATTTCTTCATGGCCGACAAAGGTTTGAACTTTCTCTTTCTCCCATCACCGCGCACATCTGGTAACATAAGGAATAATTCGTTTGTAATGAGGTAACTCTGGAATTATTTGTTAACAAACTAAGACATTGCTTATTCCCCTTGTGCGGGTTCCAAGACAGAGTATTGGGGAAAGGTAAAGTCGAGAGATGTGAACCAGCATCATTGCACACGGTTTTAAACCATAAGTGCTCTGCCACCAGTACGGACAGCCGATAAGAACTATCCGCCTGTGTCGCCGTCCGCACGCAACTCCGTAGCTACAGCGGCGTTCCTCCATTTAACCCAGATTGTTAACTCTGGTACCCATTCCCTAGAGGCCGAGTGAACCCCAGGGAACCGCCTGGCGTTGAACACCGTCCGTGGGCTGCAGTGAGTCGCAGCTGGATTTGAAAACGAGCCTCCTATCGACTGAGCTAACGCGGATTGGGGAAAGAAAGGTATCCAATCCAGCAGACTGAGCCTAGAACGGTCAGCTTTACATTACCACAAACACAAACGACAAGTGAACGTTGTGGCTAAACAGGCTTCATCAGTACATACATAAATCTACAACATCAGAAACATGAATAACAATAATAAATTCAACTGTTCACTAATGACAGCGGTAATATCACAAAAATATTAGTAACCATGAAAATGAGATGTCTGAGAAAGGTTGCAGACTGACCAGAAGAGATACAATCAGGAATGAGATCATAAAAGAAAAAGTCGGCGCGGAAACAATTCTAAAGTATATACAAAGCCAGCAAAACAAATGTTGCGCCCACTTAGAGAGAATGCCTTGTGAAGCTATACCATATAAGTCTATATACCACAAGAGAAGAGAAGAAACAGCTCGATGTAGACTAAGAAGAAGACGCAGAAAACGAACAGCAGCAGCAGCAGCAGTAGTAGTAGTAGTTGTAGTTGTAGTAGTAGTAGTAGTAGTAATAGTAGTAGTAGTAGTAGTAATAGTAGTAGTAGTAGTAGTAATAGTAGTAGTAGTAGTAGTAGTAGAAGTGGTAGTGGTAGTAGTAGTTGTTGTTATTGTTGTTGTTGTAGCTGTAGTAGTAGTAGTAGTAGTAGTAGTAGTAGTAGTAGTAGTAGTAGTAGTAGTAGTAGTAGTAGTAGTAGTAGTAGTAGTAGTAGTAGTAGAGGAGGGGGGGGGGAAGCAGAGAAGAAGAAGAAGCAGAAGAAGAGTGGTACAGCTGCGATCTATTTACATGTTCTACCGGGGCCGATCATGGAGGCCTTTGCTGCATTATAGGCCTCATGTAAAGTACCGGTGTACAGGGCCCTGCCCATACAACCCACTCACGTGAATGAACAGCGAACAACAAACATATCCAACAGTTAATCAGGAGCTGCCTCATTCATTCAACGTTCCCCCGTGTTGGTTAGGGGGCCCCAGTGCGGGGAAAACAAGAACAGACCCACTGACTCCCCAACAAGCAAATCGTGAGAATAGACTAACTGGGGGCTTCCATTGAAGTCATAGTGAGAGGCAAGGAACCACAAATCTGCATACAAATAAGTCAGATCTGTAGAACAGGTGTGCAGGCAACACTCAGGTTCTGGAGCAAGACTAAAGTCCAGAGGTGGACAAACAACCAGAACTTACTGTCGGAGTTTATAGCCGGTAATGGCGACGAAGAAGAAGACATTCAACTTTAACTAGACTGCAATTTTCGAGAAAAAAAATATTTATTTCGCTATCTTTAAGCGGCAGTTTTTTTTTTTTTTTTTACATCACGTCGTTCTCGCCCGCTCTACGTGATTTTACAGCCAATGCAAGGCATCTTTAATGTCTGTTTCCACATTCGCGAACGTCTTCCTCTGCTTCGTTTTCCGGACACTGTGCCCTCTTATGAGCCAGTTCTCGGTGATTTCGTTTTTATTCACCTCAAACAGACAGTCCAATATTGCAGGGGGCGGTAGATAGGCTGCATGCAGTCGTGGGACCTAGGCTGCGAACTCTCGTGGGACGTTTGTAGGTTGGAGTTAGGTCCAGTTCTAGATGTTTTGGAGTAGTTAAAAGCACCACACCACCAGGAAACCCGGTCTTCCCACCATAAAAAAAAATAATTGGACTGTCCCCGTGACGTCATCTTGGGTGACGTATTACAAAAGAACCCAGTTCTCTTGATGTTCAGGCACCAAAAGAAAATCACAGTGCTTTTATTATAATGTGTGAAATAAAAACTAATCAATAAGATTTGGTAAATTTAACAATGTAACGATCCCCATTTTCAAAATTTAGGCCAGTGAACAAACCTAGTTGACTAGCAATGTTTTAGTGGGTACCAGACAGGATGATTGTCCACCCACATTATTTTTGGGTCATTACTTGTATTTTGTTTCGAAATGGGGTACCTCCGAGTTCTGAGGTTAACTGCGTTCTATTATATTGCATTAAAGATTGTTGTGTGCTCTGTTGGTGTTTGGCTTTAGTGTGTATATAATAGATTTATCTGTCACGGGCCTACAAGACAAGCCATATGTCGTTGTGGCAGATATAAAATCGCTGACAATCTCAGAGGGGGAACTATATGTCTAGGAGCGAGAACCATATTTCTCAGAGGGAGAACCATAAGACTCAGAGAAAAAGCTATATGTTCAGGAAGGAGAACTATATGTCTTCAAGGGAGAATCGTATGTCTAGTTGGAGAACCATATGCCTCAGAATGAAAACCCCATATGCCTCAGAGAGAGAACCATATGTCTAGGAGCGAGAATCATATTCCTTGGAGGGAGAACCATATGTCTCAGAATGAAAACCCCATATTCCTCAGAGGATGAGCCATGTGTCTAGGAGTGAGAACTATATTCCTAGAAGGGAGAACCATATGTCTCAGAATGAAAACCCCATATTCCTCAGAGGATGAGCCATGTGTCTAGGAGTGAGAACTATATTCTTAGAAGGGAGAACCATATGTCTCAGAATGAAAACCCCATATTCCTCAGAGGATGAGCCATGTGTCTAGGAGTGAGAACTATATTCCTAGAAGGGAGAACCATATGTCTCAGAATGAAAACCCCATATTCCTCAGAGGATGAGCCATATGTCTAGGAGTGAGAACTATATTCCTAGAAGGGAGAACCATATGTCTCAGAATGAAAACCCCATATTCCTCAGAGGATGAGCCATGTGTCTAGGAGTGAGAACTATATTCCTAGAAGGGAGAACCATATGTCTCAGAAAGAGAGAACTATATGTCTTGGAAGGAGAACTTTGCGTCTTCTAGGGATAACCGTGTGTCTAGTAGTGAGAACCATATGTCTCAGAATGAAAACCCTATTTCCCGGAGGGAGAAGCAAATGTCTTGGAGACAGAGCTATATGTCTCGGAGGGATAACAATATGTCTCAGGACATGCCTAGAAGAGAGAACCATATGTCTTTAAGGGAGAACTATATGTCTCGGAGGGAGAACCATATGCTTCAGAGATAGAACCATATGCCTTGAAGGAAGAGCCATATGCCTTGAAGGGAGAGCCATATGCCTTGAATGGAGAATCATGTCTCCGAGCGAGAAATGTATGTATCGAAAGAGGGAGGGAGTGAACCACGTCTCCTAGAAGAAGAATCGTATGTCTCAGAGGTCCATGTATTTGCATAAAACTTACCATAAGAATCAGCGACTGCCAGAATCACCATCTTCTTCCTTGAGCTGGAACTGTTATTGGTGTCACAAATTCCCATGTACCCGCCAGTGGATACAACCTGTATAAGAAACAGCCCGGCTACAGGAAATTTCACACCAAGTCTTCTTTCGGACGCTTCTCTCCCTAACTAAGAAATTAGTTAAAGAAATTACACGGAACAACGGCCTCTATTTTAACTGAAGCTGACTGCTTGTTAAACGAGATCCAAGTTGGTGGCTTTTGTTGAGAAATGAATGAACGAACGGAACTGGTCTCTTCATATTTATTATTAAACACGTCGGTAGACACAGGTTTATAGGTAAATAAGAGCAGGTATTAGATTTATCTAGAATTGAGTTCACTGACCTTGAAAGTGGCTTCCTGCAATTATACGTTACACAATAGCAGATTTATTTAGTCTACACAACAGATTTATCTAGTTATATTAAATGTTTACAATGACTCTCTCTACTACAGCGCTGCATAACATTCAGTAATTAAGATAATTTTGTGAGTTATTATGTAGTCTTCTAAACATACAGATTCTTTGCTTCGCCAGGTAACTTTGCAACTAAAGAATAAAACCAACATACACCAGTCCACGTAAAACTTATATCCGTGATTTGGCTTTCTGGCCTAACTGCTTAGTGAGTCGTCTAAAAAACCTTTAACACTTTACACGAACTGTTTCACAATTATATTCACGTCACTGTAGCCGCAAATGCAGTTCTCTGTCCATTCTCATGAAAATGCACAAGAAGAGATAAGGACAATGCAAGACGTGGGAAACATGACCTTCTTTGTTCAGGTCTTAACCGTCTCTTTCTGGTGCGCAGGTCAGCCGGGCGAGACTGAACAATCTGCACAATTGCAACCAGACAAGACAAAGAGAAGGGCTCTACCGCGCCAGGGACCCACCCACGTTAGCACAACTCCCCAGGGACCCATCCACGTTAGCACCCCCCCCCCCCCCCCCGCCTAGACCCATCCACGTCAGCACAATCTTCTATTTCTGGTCAGCATGTCTTCAAGTGGCCAGGTATTTAGAAGAAGTTCGGTTAAACATTTGTTCGATTCTGTGCAAGCACTTTGGCTTGGAGGAGGGACAAGACATCTCGACACTAATCCAAGGAAGGCTGAGGAGAAATGATTTTAAAAGGGGGTGGGGAGGAGGGGGCGGAAAAGGGGGGGGGGGGGTAATTCACGTAAACAAAACATAACCTGAAGGCTTGTCCACAATTGTTTGCCGTTCTAGCCAACTTAATTAAAAATTGTTTACTGTTCTAACTGCTGTTAGAAGATTTAACCAGAGGATTTAGGACCAAAAGGCCGTTTAAGTCGCCACCGGCTGTGCAGGATTTTGATGGGGTTTTTTTTTTCTTTCACCCCAGCCCC